GCACTGTGTAAGACCCAAATATACAGGCAATGGAATGGGATAGCGCAGAGGAAGACACTGACAATGACTGGATGAGAGAGAGGAAGTGATGAGGAAGGAAAAGCCGTCCTTCTTGATTTGTAAGCAGAGTGTTATCTCTCTTCAGCAGAGCCCCACGCTCCAATCACTGATAGGAGCTCCGTCGCATATGTAGCATGCAGGGCACAAAAGAGGAAAAGGCCCCCAGGGTCAAGACAGATGTGTGTCGCTGAATTTGAGCGAGTGTAACTGTGCAAACATGTTAAGAGGAAGACAATGGGGGGATTTAGAGGAAGTAGAATTAACCTGAGGTGACCTCACTCAATCAGCAAAACTGTATCTCCGGAAAATGTCCCTTTCCCAACACCGCCCAACCCTCCCAACCCCCCCAAGAAAAAATAATAAAAGAAAATAAGGGTTTCCTAGAGAGCTGTTCAATACTGAAAAAGTATACATTTGATTCTGCCTGTGCAGGCAGATCAACATGTTACATAAGAAGTACTCACCAAGGGACACGACAGCCACACTCTCTGGAAGAAAATGCAGCTTGAACTTGATGAGCAAGTGCACCAATATGATGCAGATACCTGGTGTCGGTGGGAAGAGCAAAAACCACTGAGTGAATATTTAGGACAAATACGTCCACGTCTGGACCACCATGTCACACCAACTCACATCAGCCCAAAAATAGCCCCCACATCATATTGAGTTAAGATCTTTTCTCTGGCTGCTTTCCTTCAAACAACCTACCGCAGACAGGCCAGAGATGTCTAAGACAAACATATCATCAAATTAGTCTAACTATAAAAAATATTTTCTGCAAATTAATTCAAATACACTTGCTTGACATGAATATGGCTACAAAGCAGTTGCTTGACATACAAATTATAGTTCTGTGACTGTACAATGAAAAGATAATTGCCCCAAATTAAAACATAAAATTAGCTTGTGAAAGTACCATAGGCAACCATGTATATCAATGTGCTAAATCAGTGCTTACGCATATTAGCATAATTATGATGACAAACCCCAAGGCCACAATGAAGTAAAATAAACGGCAATTCATACATTTGGTGAAAATGCAGTGCAGCAAATGAGATAATCGTGAAAACGTGTATGCAACACTGAAGCTAGAAGAGGTCGGTTCATCAAAGCTGGACTGTGTTGTCATAAGGGAGATGTTACATTCAGGCCTATTTAAAGCATGCACACTCATGGAGGGGAATGGAACATCATGTTATTATGGTTTACAGGAAGTGCTATTTAGGACTAACGTGTTCTTTCTAGATTGTACTCTGAGGCGGTTTCTCATCAATGACCTGTACTATCTCAGTCAAACCACTTATGAGTTGGTATTTACTTCCCTAAACAAATGCCTATGATTTCCTGCATGTTGTGCCTCTCGAAACCAATCAAATGTTTTTCACGATGAAAAATTTTGTTCAAGACAAAATAACATTTTTAGGCATCTACAAAGTGAATGGGTTTAATTGGTAACCTTATGCATGATTTATGCCATTTCCTTGCTCTAAACCCTTACAGTGGTAAGCATGTGACTTAAACTGCAGTGAACTAAAGTGCATAATGGGCACTTTGTGTGCCTGGAGAAGCATTTCATGACCTTACTCATATTAATGTGTAACCACATCCTTTCCTTTATCCACTTCCTCCATCCTGAATCACCATCCACACATTTGATTTAATGAAACACTCAAGTGGCTGTACATTTGCCCTTTATTATTAGCTGTAGGAGGTCTAAGCTATGCATTTTGCATGAACCACATTTATGTTGGCAGTAACAGATTGAAACATAGACATAAAAAAAAGAAGAAAAAGAAATGTCAGCGTCTAGCAGCTGTTCAGCAACGCAGTAACAGTGAGGCTACCTACCAATAACCAGCAGGCTGAAAAATATGGTCAACCCGCTGGACTGCTCTTCTTCTTGGGCCTTGACCCCTGTCTGCACAGGGAGAATGGGCTTCGGGGTTGGGGGTGCTGGGGTCGTTGGCTTGACAGCAGGTGTTGTAGAGTGGAGGGTCTCATTGCTGTAGTTATCAGTGTCATTGGACTTGCTGCAAGGTGACAGTCAGGAGCAAAAGCATGTTGGTGTGAAACATTACATAGATAGATAGATAGATAGATAGATAGATAGATAGATAGATAGATAGATAGATAGATAGATAAAGCTCTGGACTCACTATACATTGCAAATTACAGACTTTACACTGTGTTACTTTTAAAGGTATAATTTATGCAAAGTAGTCACTTTTGGATGTTACAACAACTTAATTCAATTTTAATCATTAATGGTTAAAACCACTATACTATTGGGACTCAAATGAAGGGCGCTTGGAAAAGTGTGCATACATTTAGAGGTGGTAAAAGCAGTTAGGTCAAGATGGTCCTCGACAGTGTTTTTCAATCAGCTCACATATTGACACCTTTGACACTTTCAGTACTGCCTTTGAGTTGTTTCCCATTTAAGTAATGCTGCTGAGGTTGTTATTAGGTTAGGTAAAACTGAATATATTTCACCAGCATAGACAAGAAGGAGAGAAATAACTTGTGATGCAAAAAATTTTCATCTTTTCTGTGGAGTATTCATGGTCTGACTCACACATACATTGTATTTTAACTGACATAAACAGATACATGTCTAGGTTTTGTTTTGCTTGAGCTATGTGTGTATAAATGTGTATATTAAACTTGCGAGGCTGTGTGTATATGAGTATTTAATTTCCATTACTGGGTATCTCATTTGTTGGTGTGTGTTATTCATATTTGCATGAGGTGGACTAACTGTGCTGTTAGATACTATTCAAGCTGGTATAAAAGTTTGCGCTGTTACAGGGGTTAAAACAAATACGTACACTGCTTATATAGCTGTATCAAATAAATATCTGTGAGGACTGTCAACTGTTATTACGTGATGCAGCACACGAAACCTGTTTTGTAGCTTCACAAATGGAGCTACAGCTAACTAGCTATATTGGGCCAAGCTATCCCAAAGATAGAATATTGAATTCAGTAATTATTGTCTCAGACCTGACAGACTGTCCACCCTTCTGTGGGACGTTTGAACCGTGTCCATGTTCTTTTTCCTTTATTATCAATGTTTGGTGGTTTTCAACTGGATCCCTTTTCACCTTTCCTCCGTCGTCATCTCTCTCAGTCAAGTCCAACGACTTTTCTCTCTCAACTCGTTCTAGCACGCATGGATTTACGAATAACAACAAAACGGACAGCAACACAACTTTATGTCCAACGCCTCTCATTCTCAAACTAGTCAGTTTAGACCCAAAAGAAGCGTTTTGTATTAAAAAGAACAGGCAGTTCCATGTCGACAGCTCCATGTATCTGTTGACATCATGACTCCATTTCCTGGTGAACCTTAAGCAGGGAGTTGTAGTCTTTACGTTGCATGAACGGCATTCAAGAATGGCAACGAAACAAAGAGATGCCGTTTGATACAGCTGCTGTTGTCCAATTACACGTGCTTGTTTTTGTCACGGTGGATAAAGTTTCACTTTCGACGGTTCAAATCAAATGTCGATGCAAACCGCAAATCTTATACTCTTTTTCCCATGAGTCATTGTAGTGTAGCGTCAGCCGTCCGCCTGCTGTTTCATGGATATTGTAGTTTTATTTAAGGTGCAACCACTGCCAGTAGGCTACCTGCAGATGTATGAAACACAATTAACACCTGCCACCTTGTAATGAGTCATATTTGTTGGACGCCAATTGAGAAATATATTGAATATTTATAAATCAAATTAATGAAAATTAATAAACAGAAATATTTGTGGGAATATGTAAAAGTGTGTATATGCTACATCTTCACCCTTATGAAGACATGCATTCATGAGTAGGCTATACTGCAAGATATCACTCAAAATCATAGGCCTACACTTGTGTTTGGTAGCTAAATATTGTACAAAATATTAGATTCACTTAAAACTAATGCAATCTAAGACAACAGCCCTGCAATAAAATATACAGTAATCCAAACAAGTGTTCTGTTATTATTGAAACTGTTTTATAGTTTTTAGCTTAATTCAACTTTACTGCCATTTTGTAGGCTGTAGTTGAGTTGTAACCTTTATTGATATACTTGGGGTTGGCAAAATAGTAGAACCACCCATAACACGATACTTTAAATAAATGGATAAATGAATAAATAAATGAAAGTTTCAAAATTCAAACTGAACATTATTACCCCATGGAATGTAGGCCTAAGCCTAAATTTAGTTTCATTGCAAAATTGAAGATAAATGAGCTGGCAATTGAATCATTGCTTTGATTAATCATAAGTTAGACCCTGTGATACAGCAGTAACTATAGGAACTGTGAGGTTGAGAAAAAAAAATCTCAAAAAAGGCTTCTTAGCCAAACAGCTATAAAATTGTAAAACCTTAATTTTATTAGAATTACTAAATTATAAGTTATTAGTTATCTTATAAAATTTTGGAGCATCCAAACTGAAACAGGTCAGGCTACTTGCACCTTAGTTAATTAGCTATGGGTAGCTGAGATTGCACTTTGGCTAAGCTTAACAACACAGAATGGATGCACTATTTTACACATTTCTATGGCACAATCGTTTTAACATAGTGTAACAGGTGTATAAAAAAACCTAAGATTCTAGTTTCAACTCAGTTTTTTTGCAAATGTGTAGTTACTGTATTTTAGCTTTGTAGGGTAGTTAACTTTAATAGCTAGTCTACCATTTCTTTGTTTATTTATTTATTTTTTCTAGCTTTTGTATCATGCCATATGTGAGAACGTTATGACGACGTCGCTACGGTTATCAGACTGAGTTGATTCGCCTATAGACACGAATCTCTGGTCGCCAGGTTACGCTGTTTAACGCTGTGAGCACTTACCATGTTTTTTTTTTAATACTGTTAACGCCCACTTTAGGTGTTGCTCATTTTGCGGAGAGGCAGTTCCATTCATAGAGCTGGTAGGCAGGCAGGCAGACGAAGAGCTGAAGCGGCCAAACAGCCATCAGCGACATACTGGGTGAGCCAAATGATGGTTTCTCACTGAATATACGAGGCCAGGTTAAACAGCACTGTCATTGTCAGCCGTTTCGACATCGGGCATACGCTGAACTAATCCAGAAACCCTCCTCTCAGGAATGGATTTTGAATGTCTTGATTGAATATTGGAGGACCTCTCCTCGACCTGCCGCGGAAATAGACTGACTTCCTAGTCTCCTTACCGCTGCCGCAGAAAGACCGCTCTACTCATCTCAGTAAACCCAGACCATCCGCGGACTACAGACTCGGGCATCTGGACACATCGGAATTGGTCTATCGTCGTTTTCAATACACAAACGTTCCTGTGTGTGTATTTGCTGCCTGTATAATGCCGACACATTTGCGGTTCCGGAGAAGGTCATTCCTTGGGCTTTTATTCCTTTTTTCACTGTCCACCTCCGCATTGTACTTCATCTACTCCGCCCCCGGAATCGGTAAGTCACATCAAATTGATGGTATTATTTGAAATACTCAGACGTTAGGATGAAGTGAGGCTGTTTGCACGGGCTGTTGGGTTATGTGTGACAGCTATCTGCTGAGCCTGGATCTCACCCAATCGATGATGAGACTAAGCTGGATGCTGGAGCTCAATCCTATAATATCCATGCACCTTAACATGGTAATAATAGTGCTACTAATGAGCGTCATGGCGACTATAATCAGGCTGATGTTAGTAGGCCTAACAGCTATGATTATAATGCTTACAGTAACGACTGGTTCCACAAGCAAAATATGATATTTTAGTTTTCATTTTTGGGTTCCTTGTTGAAATTCATAGATTGGTCAAAGTTGACTCATATCAATGTCACAAGCCTCACCCTGTCTGACTCTGTTTTTGGCCTGTCAGAGGTCACATTATGAGTCAAAGATTCATAGGCCTGAGTGACATTTTTGGTGTCAACCTGAGAATAGAGATCACTGATAAACATGTAATTTGCTACACCATCTGCTGCCTCTAAGTCTCATGCAGTTGTTTAATATCGCATGTCGCAAATCCCTCCTATCATTAATTCATTAATGTGCCTTATCATCCCCTCCCCTCTCTTTCTTCGGTCACTCTTTCTCTCTCTCATTATGTGTGGACACCTCAGTCTTAGTACCTCACTCATCCTCTCTTGGAGGCCTTCTAGCTCTGGCCATGGTCCAGTCATCCTATCAGCCTAGATATGTAAGGCCAATAATGCTTGCTGTTTTGGTTAGTATCACCCATGTAATACCCAAACATTAATTACTTTATTGTAGCAAAATGGGAAGAGCTTATCTTGATGTATAGCACTTTTTGTAAACCTGGGACTTTAGCCTGAATCTGTCCTTGACTCTGTGCCAACCAGATCTGTAATAACTTTCCATTGGGTGGATTTAAGAACACTGATGAATGTGCAAATGAACAGCAACAACATGGTTGCCTGTATCCTTATATTTTTGGCAACAGAAGTGGAAAGCTCAAAAGGAAAATGTTTGAGGAAACACGGGCTGTTGTTAAAAGTTGGCTACTCTGACTTTTTCCTATTTACTGTTTAAGCCACTGTTGGTTGGATATCCTGGTGTGCTAGCTTGTTGAGGTTGGACTTCCCTGAAACATTGTTATAGAGTAAATACTCCCACACAAACATTACATTGAGAGGAGACCAATGTCTGAGAGGAGACCAAGTCAAAAACATCTTAATTTCCAACACATTTACAATCAATAGGTATAGGGAGAGAGCCTGTCATTGTTGGAATAGGGGTGGCTCTATGAGCATGTCATACAAGTGTAGCTAAAACATCAAAGAGAAAGCTGGTGCTTCTTACTCATCAAAATGGGTATTGATCCATTCACGCTTTTTACCTCCTGTGGACAACTTAATCAATAATTAAATCAATTCTCATATGGAGAACACATTACTGACAGGAATAGCCAGTGTAAGTCCCAATAATGGAGAGCAATGATTCCTCTAAATGTGAAACAAATAAACAAATAAATTGTTGAGTAACTGGGGTGAAAATAATCCTTCATTTGCTTGTGCACTATTTCTCCAGCTGAACTATTGATGGTGTCTGGTAACTGACTGAGAGCTGTGCTATCCATCCTCCTGGGTGTTGACTATTGTAGGGCTGTAATAGCCACGTGGCTTACTGGGGGTTAGTTCAGAAACAGAACAAGGACCAGCAGCACCAGTCCATTAATTATAAATGGTAACCATGAGCAAGGCGGCTTCTGCTGCTGTTACTAAAAGCTACTGTTTAGTCTTTTACACTTGGGGTGCCTGGGTGAGCTCTAGCAGCAGGCCTGAACAGGGAAATCATTTGGGGGTTGGGGGATGGTGCTTAAAAGTAATAGTTACTATTTTTTGACATCAGGTGATAGGATTTACTCTCTGGTAGTGATATTGATGCATGGACATTAGCTGAGATTTCAGCTCCTGTGGTCAGAGTAGCACCAGTGAGCCCGCACAGTTCGTCAGATAGACAAACGGTAGCATTTAAAACCACAATGCAGCATTAGCATTCGATTTAACCAACCCCAACAGAATACATCATCTTCTGTGTCTCTGTGATGCTTGAATTTCCTCCCAGATTTATTGGTAATGTGGACATATTCAACAAATAAAACAGACACACAATCAGACATACAAGCTGCTTTTTACTGTTGTGGGTGTTTAAAAGTATTGAGGACTGTTTTGTTATGATGCCATTTATCAGCTACTGTTAGCTTGAACTAATGCCTATACATCAGTATTACCTTCAATAAGTAAATCCACTGCTTTAAGAGCAGGTGAAGACACAGATAGTCATCAGAGTGTGGTTCAAAGATGCTAGTGGATCCTTCATTTTTTCTATACACTTGCTACATTCTCCATAAATTAATCCATTAAGAGTGTATAAGAAGCATTTCAACTTTAGCATTCCCTATTGCCATTATTTTCTCGCAGCATAAAACATAAGTTTAATCTCCATATAGCATTAGGCTATACTGTACATCTCATCAAATGGGAGTTTGGGTCACAGCTGCCTTACAGCAGCCACACTTTGAATGCAAGCAGTTTTGCTGAAGGGGGTCATATAGGAGGGGACGCTGCACAGAATTAGCAGAATAATTCAGAGTAAAGAGAGAAACTAGAAAAATGGAGAAGGGCAAGGGGAGGAGGAGGAGGGGGAAATGGCGAAGGAAGGATGAAAGAGATGAGCCGAGCTCCTTTCCTTCTGCTGGTTTGCACATCGGGGAACCCATCCTGAACACCTGAGCAGGGCTTCCTATGATACCCAGGTGGCTTCAGTGTAGAATGCCCCAATTTCACGGCTTAGTCCATTTCTCTCTCTCTCCCTCCCTGTCTGCCTCTATATCTCTTGCTCAGTTTCTCTTACTCCATGTACTCATATGCAACGACACCCCAGCCTCTATGTTGCCCCTGAGCATGGATGCTGACTGATGCAGGCTGGGGATGCAGGGCACAGCTGGGCCTGATTGCAGCAGTTTATTTAATTAAAACATGAGAGGATCCCACTGGAGCGAGAGCTAGGGAAGACACAGGCTCTATTTATAGGTTTGAACACAGATGCAAACACACACACACACACACACACACACATACACACACACACACCTCCACATCCGGGGAGAGCAAGGAAGACAAGAAGCCAGGTGCTTCCCTTTGTCTCCAGAGACCAGGCTCATGCTATCATCTGAATGGTGTGTAGGTGGATGGGTGTAAGGCTTGTGTACATCTGTCTGTAATATATCTTAGCGAGCACCTGATATATTTCTAGGTGTGGCATGCTGACAGCCAGTACAGAGTCTTGATGGTGTTTTTGAAGTTGCATCACAGAGTGAAACAATGCAGACACATAACATGTAAGGAATGTAGAGATCTACCAGGGTTTGAAAGTAGCTTTAAAAAATTGTAAATAGTTTGTCAAAGAGTTCAAAGGTGAGAAAGGAGTTGCCGCCTTTGCTCAACAACAAAGCACTTGCTCACAGACGTAAAAAGGCTTTTATATAGTTATTAATCAGACATTTGGCATTTGAAACAACTTTATGGTACCTTAAGGTCATCAGTTTGTTGACACCCACACATGGCCTCATCTCCATGTCATCCTATACATGGAAACGGAATGGGGGTGGGGACTACCAGTAAGTACATGTCTCAGAAGAAAATGATAGCCAGTGTCTTTGGATGTAAGCACCCCCCCCCCCGCCTCCCGTCGCTGTCTCACATCCAGGAAGTAATTGTAGATCTGCAAGTGTCATGTCTTCAGGCAGGTCTGGTTTATGTACAAACATTGTGCTGAGAATAAGCAATGATCAACATACTATTTGCAGCCCAGTGCAAAGTTGTCTGGCCCTTATTTTCAGACTTTTGAGAATATGATAAATATGGTGTGAAGAAGTCATCGGTGTGGAAAGTATGTTATCATAAAACGAGATTTACAAAATATAAAGGAGCTGACAAAATAGTATTTACTTCCTCGGATGTTTAAAATGGCTCACCTAAAAATGCATAAACCAACTGAAAAAGCCATGTGAAGCTCAGTGTTTGACTGCTAAACTAAACCATCCCATAATGTTCCTACTCTGCTTTTAGAATAATATTTTCAATTGAATCTACAGTATATGCCCTTTGACTAAAATAGTGAAAGATACTTGGTGAAAACTGAGTGCAAACTAAACCTAAGTGTTATAAATTAATGGTGCGTTCCTAGGTTTAGTACGTCAATGTATTCTCTTGGAATAATGGAGGTGTATCTTTCCTTTTGCTAAATACTTTTTAGCTTTGTATCTGTGCTGCCTTCTGGTATTTCAGCCTTTTGCAGTTTATGGCCCATAAAAGCACTCCATAATGCAGTATGTGACTGCTGATGGTTGAAAAAAATGATTATTTTTGGTACTTAAGGGTTATTGCGCAGTTACATAGATATTGCAATGCATCATATTAGACTTTCTTGCAGTATATTACCAATTGCAGAAACTGTCTGAATAGTTGTATTGTCATCATCAAAAAATATCAGGATACTGTCATGGCATGAGTTCTCCTGTGATGCCTGGCCCCACTGTAAACGTTTTCCATTCAAATCTAGTTAGTTTGATAATTAAATGTTAAATGCTGTCTCTGTCTTCCTACCTTGCTTGAATGGATTCATTTGTCTAGATAAGCAGAAGGACCATGTTTTTGATTTGTGCTTGCCTACCTTGCTAACTCCTAATGGCACTGTGCTTTATTTCTCACCACTACTGGGCAGACTGCTCTCTATCCACTGTGCTTCAGACAAAGCTGTTTTCCCAGAGCAGTTTTTACATTTCCTCTGGCCACACCCACCAAGCTGTGTACGAGTGTGCACATATGATTGTCCATCCACCCCTGTGTGTTTTTGTTTGTGCAGCCACTTCCTGCCGAGCCAACTTTTCAGCGTAACAATGAGTGGCCTCCTTACCCCCAGGAATATTTGAATCCTAATT